ACAAGGGAGCCCAGAAGAGCCTGGGGACCATCAGCAGAGGAGCACCTTTTGATTCCCTCCCCGTCTTCTTTGTGGGTTCACTGGTGGGACTGGTCAGGGAGCCAAAGTCCCCAAAGATCTTCAGGACACTGGCCTGTAAGCTCCTGCACACCAGCAAGGCCACCACCTCAGGGAGGAAAGACTGTCTGGGAAGCAGAGCCCCTTTGCTCCCTGCCTTGCTGTGGGTGGACAGGCCACTCCTTCCTGGGTGACACTGGGAAGTGGATGCCTGCCTCTCCACTTGGGTCCAGACGGCTTAAGCAGCCCCAGCCTGATTGCATTTGGCTTGTCAGTGCTGATACCAAGTACTGCCCATGGGCATCCCTTCCTTTGCCCCTCCATGTCACCCCCTTGTATACCACATGCTCCCAGAAACAGCAGCCCCGGAGCAGGACTTTGCTTTTCCCCTCACAGCTTGCTTGGGAGGGGAAAGAAGGCTAAGGTGAGGCTGCATGATGGGCACAGCAACACCTCTCATGGCTTCTTTTTTCTCTGTGTTTCCTTAGTGCGAGAGGAAACCCAGCGAAGGCTTCAGTTTCCCCAGCTTTCTGAGAATGTGTCCTGCAAGGATCTCTATAGGGAGAGGGCATCAAGACCTGCAACAGGAAGACTTGGAGTCAACAAAGTAGCCCAAACCAGGACTGACACCTGAGTAAGTGCATGTTTATCTATCAGTTTGGGAATTGAAGATGTATTCCTTAACAACGCAGTTCTTGCTAATTCTTACGAGATATTCATTATCCTCTCTTCATTTCCCACCCTGTGGGTCTGTGGCTCTGCACTAAGACATGAGTACCATGGAGCTGATGCCATCTCTTTAGCATGGCTGGGTACAGTTCTGAGTGACTTCTAGAGACAGAGAGGCAGGTGATGACGCCCAAAAGCTCTTTGAGGAGAAAAGTCAGGACTTAAATGAGCTTGTTTTATCTCTTCTGATTTTCCTCCTTTGCTGCCTCTTTCCCAAAATGGGGAGGAGGACTTCTCTGTCCCTTACACTCTTCATCTTGATTTTGGTTCTGCTACTGTGTATTCAGGATTTTTCTTATTTGCAGTTCCTTGTGCTTATCTTCTGACAGCATTCAGCTACTTGAAAATCTTCCTTCTGCACCCATTTTTGCTCAATTGCTGATTACATGGTTCATATACTTAGACACAAAATGTGGCTGGCTATGCCATCATGGTTTTACAAAGTTCTTGGATACTGTTTGCATTACAGTAGTTGAGTATACTTATACATATATTCAAGAAAAGCTAATATTAATTATATCTCGATTAGCACACTTATAACCAATGCATAACCCAAACATTTGCTCTGGTTACACAACTCCCTGACTTGTGTTACAAATCCCTATGTGGCGAGATGCTACAGAGGGTGTGATATATGAGGACTTTTGCAGGGTGTGACTGAATGCAGAAGTGCCCAAACCCCAACCCATCTAAGGATGCCCTAGAAAGTTTCATACTTAATGGTGGGGCTGGTGCAACCAGACAGTCTCTGTAGGACATGTGGCACATCAGCTGCTGTAACTGCTTGTCATCATTTGCAAGTTGCAAACGGATCTAGAAGTCTGGGTCCCAAGGTGCTAGGGTTACTAGAGGAGGCTTGCGGTATAGACTCTCAGTGAATCAACCATACACTTGTTTTCTGCAACGGAGTCCTATGCAGGAAAGTGAGAACACAGATGTGACAGGCCATCTTCAGTATAGCCTCCTGCTCACATCAGGGCCATTTCCAGCAATAGGTCAGGAGATCATGCAATTGTTCCTTGGCTGTGATTGAAACACCCTCACTACAGAAAGAATAAGAAAGAAGGAAAGGAAAATAAAAGATCTTTAAAGAGGGGTACACTGGGTATTAGTGGTAGTGGTAGTAGTGATAGTAATAATAGTTGTAGTAGTAACAGCAGCAGCAGTAAGGTTAAAGTGGAGATTTGGTGTTCTGCCTAGATTTCTCCTTACACGGAAGCATGCCGAAGAGACATGGGGGTCTTTTAGCTCAAAAGAGCACCTTTTAAGCAGGATGCACAGAAAGGTTGGATTTTTGGGAAAGGGAGAAGAAACTAAGAGACAAGGCAGAATGGAGAGGATGAAGCAGAGCTTCAGAGTTTTCCTACAGGCATGTTGTGTTATTCCCTCTTCCTCTGGAGGATGCACAGTCTCTTTTATTAAAGGAACATGGTGTAGCAAACTAAATAATGCCAGTACCGTCCATATGTTAGTAAAGCCCTTAGTTCCTGAAGCAGGATCACAGACGGTGTGCATGGGGGAAATCTATCTATGCAGAAAGTACTATAATAAGTGTTTTAGCTAGTTAGTATCTTTAGTATCATCCTTCTGGGCTCCTTTCCCACAAAACCTCCCAAGAAAGCTAGTTTTCTTCCATTTTGTAGCACATGTGGTTCTGGGATATATTTTTTTCCATCCTATACCACCATCTGACTTAAGCCAGAACAGGCACAAACAGGAACACATTGCAGCTGCAAGTAGGACCACTTGTTTTAAACGTGATAAAAATCCCCTGGGGAGTTTTAAAGCTTTTGGTGTTCATTTTATTTAAGACTGTAGAGTATCAAGCAGACATTGATACTCTTGGACATGCTAGCTAAAGCTTCATGCAGCTCTGAAGACCTCCAGCCTCACAGAGCTCCAGAAAGTTAAATTGTAGTTTGCTTTCACTGGTAGGCCATGAAATCCTTGTGAAAAACATGACAGAGAAGTGTAGATGAATGTAAGCGGACAACAGGTCTTGAGGCTGTGGGGAGTGGAAGAAAATAAAGGCATGAGGCACAAGAAAGTCTTCTGCAGCACCAAAATGTAATTGCTTTTCACTTTCAACCTGTGTCTGTCTTGCTTACCGAGTCTCTGCTCAGGGCTAGATGTGTTTGAACACAGTGGGTCCCCAAAAAAGGGCAATAAAAGCTGACAGAATGGCTACTCTGGCCTTTGGTGTAATTTGAGGGTTTTTAATTATGTGTTCCTTCTACTGACAGCTCCAATCACTGCAATATTTTTCTCTCTTTCAGTTTATACACAAGTTTGGGGGCTTTTCTACAATATTTTGTTTCTTTCAAAGAAACAAAAAGTTATCTTCAGTGTTAGATTTTCCCCAGATTTTTTTAACACTTTGATGACAAGTTTATTTTAACTTAGTTAAAAAGACAGCACCGTTGTTAGTTTTGCTTGCTTTAATGGGGGGGGGAAGTTGGTGTTTAAAGTGTAGACAACCTCCACCCTAACTCCAACCAGGGTGACTCAGTCCCATAGAGGCAAGCCTGCCTGTGCTGGTGTGCAAGCATCGGTGGAGGAAATGTGGCCTTCGCTGGTATGTCCGCTGTCCTCTGTGAGAGGTGCAGCATGGGCGTACTGGACAGACAGCTCGTCCCATAGCAGTGCAAAGGCTCTCACCTGAACCTCTCTACAGGTCTCTAATGAGGTGGCTGTACTCACAAGAGCATCCCTGGGGCTGCTTTTCTCCAATACAGCCCTTGCCCCTTTTGCCTTCCTAGCATGCACAGCCAAGTCTGACCAGTACAGAACAGAGTGGGCAGGAACTGCTTGGTCTTCAGACTGCAGCATACCTGATCCCCAGACTCATATGAACGTGCCCTTCTGCCAGTGCCCTGCAGTCCCTAGGGGAGGCTGCAGAGAGAGAACAGAGAGAGTCAGCTGTTTTGAGGGGCTGCAGGAAGCCTGTCAGGGCATCTCACTGAGCAGAGTTGCCCTAGAGACAAGTGGCGATAGTGTCCTGCAGAAAGCCTTTGGACTGAGCCTCAAGACTGTTTTCTGTGTTGGTCCTGGTTGCTGAACAACCTTTCTTGCAATAAAAGTTGTCCAGGCTCCAGCTTTGTGCAGGATGCAAAAGCGTGTATCTTTGCCTGTGTAAGAGGGCTTCTCTAGGATCCACAGCTGTGATGGGAGCAGTTGGCTGACTTGTCACTGTCCTTTGGATTTACAAAATGTGGCCTCTAGTGAGACAAGATCACAGCCAGGACCATTCACCTTTGCAGGAGGCTTTCCGCAGTACCAGTTTTACAGTGACCCCCACAGACCTATTGTAGAGGCCTCTGCTGCGGTTACTGGTGTCACAGAAGACTTGTTTTGGCAACCAGAGCCCTCCTTGGGCAGGAAGAGAAAATGGGTCCACTCCCAGCATACTCAGCCCATGCCTTAACATCAAAATCCCTCTCCCCTGACAAGATTTCATCTTCACACTTTACATAGGCTTTCCAGGGAACACCACATGTAAATGTGAGCTGTGAGAGAATACACAGTCTTGAGGGAAAGGGCACACAGCTGTAAACCGACTTGATCTACGGTGGTCATTACAGACTAGCACGTTAAGTTTGAGCCTCTTTCATTCTAAAGACAAAATGTGAAGATAGCTGAGCCAGCAGGAATAGCTGATAGTGCAACATAGGTGCTTGTGAGAGCTACCTGGCATTGCTGTCAACAGTGCTGTAATGCCTCTATGGCATGCCAGCATTACGACAAACCGTATACTGGATGAGCAGCTTGCTCCACTACTTATTAGGAGTTCAGAATTAGACTCATGCACCTGTATATCTGATGCATTAGTAGAGACACAAATCTCATTTCAAATCTCTTTTATATGCTTGGATACAGATAAGAGTGTCTTTGCTGGTGCAAGGCAGACTCTCTGACCAGGGCAACGACAGATTTTGGAGAAATCTGAAAGCAGTACTTCCTTGCTCCTTTAACCTGTCTTTCAAAATAAAGCTAACTCTAGTTTAACCTACAGCTAATTTCACACAGTCATTTTGAGGATCTGAGGCACCACATCATCATTTTGAGTACAACTTCATGCATCTGGCAACTTAATGCATCTGGCAAATATGGAGACCTCTGGTTTGTGCTACATAGCAGATCTGATGCACCCTTACATCTAAAAAATACTTTTATTAGTTTAATGTGTTCAGAAAATATTAGTATTTTCTTAAACCTTTATTAAAATCCCTTTATTAAAAACAAGTATTTGTAAATATATAAAACTATAAAGTACAAAGTGCTTCTTGCTTCCCAGTACAGTAGGACTCAGGAGTGGCAGGTAAATTTATTGTTAATTTGTTCAGTGTATTAGGCCCAGGGCTGAAGAACTGACCAGCTAGTTTCAGAAAAGACAGCTAACCTCATTCCTCCAACAAGTCCAAACTGATCTTGTTTCACCTCAGTTTCAGACTTCCTTCCTGCTCCTTTTGACAGTGCTTACTGGTGAGAGCAAGACTGAGCTGTAGGGACTAGCAGGCTCCCTAAAAGGATGCACCTAGGTGTTTTACAAAGGGTAGCTTTCCAGTTGCTAATGGGGAAGAGAATTCAGGCACTGAAAGAACAATCTGTACAGTGTTCCTCATGGAAAGTACATTCTTTGCTTTGGGATTATCTTCTAGCTGGACTGGGCAAAGCCACTGGTCCAATTTGCATCAAGTTCAATTAATCAGCAAGTACTCAGATCCCCTCGCAAAATGCATGGTATGAAGTATTACCAAGTCCCATCTATTTTTTTTTTTTTTTAACCTCTGTTAATATTACAGAGTGAAAAGTTGTTAGGTTATACATCTATACTTGAACACCTAAGCAGGACAATGAACCACTGTGAAAGTACTGTATAATGAAAAACACAGTTGTACCCATTGCAGTTGTTAGGGTAACTGAACTCCAAATAGGATCTTTTCTGTCACTATCCATCTATTCTAACACTAAAGAACAGCTGTCAGTTGTAGAGAGAGCTGGAAGGTGTTTGTTGATGATGTTTCTTACTTGGTCTCCTCCCAAAAGCCCCTATCATCTGCAGAAACATGACAGGTCTCTGTGTTCTCCAAGTGGTCACCTTTGCTAGTTCTTCTGCCAGCTTCCACCTCACGAGGCACTGCTCCGTCACTCCCCTAGAAGAGAGCTGTCCTCTCAAGTGTTCCCATATAGGAGAGCATGACTTGCCCGGGAAAGGTGACCTACCCCAATCTTAGACCAGCAAGTTCATCTTCTTATGGAAAATCTAAACCACTGGAATTGCAGGAGAGGTGAAGAAGGAACAGAAAACCAAGTAGAACAAGCTTATCCTCAATGTCTCAGCATCTGGCAGGACACCAGAAAGGTGAGAAATGCTGCCATATTTACCTTCTGCTGCTTGCTTTCACAGGCAGCACTGTAGGCAAGGTTCTTCTTTTCCTGTTCATAGGAGTAGACAAAGTGGCTCATTGGAACAGACTTCTATTGCAGATCACATACCTACACTTACCTGCTGCAGTGGAAGGTTGTTCTAGCTCCTACTGCCCTTTAACAGAGGCATAATTAGCTCCAAACTCAGAGCAGAAGAGTTGCTGTGCTGTGCAAGAACCACAGTCCTTAAACAGTTTTCCACCAGGTCTGTGACAGGTATGGCTTCCACCCCTGAAAGCTTCCTCCCACCCCCACAGTCCAAGTACATGAAAACTAACAAGATGGCTGAAATATAATGTTCCTCTCCTCTGCAACATATTTTTACCTTCACTCAAGTCAGCTAACTGTGTTACCTGCATAGTTGTCCAGTTCCACTTTGACCTTTCTGGCAGAACAGCCTTTCTTACAGCCCAGACTCACAAATAAATACAACATTGAGGGAAGCACGGCAAAGGTGCTCCAGTGATTCTGCCCGAGCCCTGGCCTGTTATGCAACAGGACCCTGATATCCCAGTGTGCCAGCAGAGCATTTGCAGTCATGGTCCCTGGCCACAGACCTGAGTTCTTCCCTTACTAGACCCTTGGCATCCCCTTTTTGGCCTGGCTAGGCTTCAGGAACATCTGCTGTTGCTGTATCTTCTGCCTTAGCCAAATCACCACTGTTTGTCTCAGCACAGAGCCGCTTGTAGTCAGTGTGGAAGAAGATGATGTAGAAACAAGCCATAGCACTGCAGAGGCCAGCCAGCACCAGAACTGGAGCTGCAAGGAAGACACACACTTAGTCAGTGATTTCCCAACTCCCCATGGGTGGAGAAGTGTCAAGGTCAGCTCCCAGCACCTGCACAGCCTGAGTGACCACCTTCTGAAGCTACCCCTGAAGACAATGTGCAGCTCACAGCGGAGCAGTGCCAGTCTACCAACAGCCAAACCTCATCCATGCAGCACTGGCACAGGATTTTGGTGAAATGTGGGAGGCTTCCAGGACTCTTGTTCTGCATAACCCCACAGGTTGCAGGTCTTACACCAGTGCACAGAATGTGTTTGTGAGGGGTTATGCGAAGATGTTTGTGTGTTGGGGAATGGTCAACAAAGTTATGAGAAAGACTGAATCAAAACACTTGAACTTTGTAAGTGAACGGGTCCACACAGGTAGTACTTCTTGTATCATCTGAGAGCAAAGTGTAGGAAGGGTTCACTACAGATAAATTTCAATCAAAGAAGAAATTGTGTTGAAAGAACCTTTTCTGAATTAAAAAAAAAAAAATAAAAATAAAAATAGTACATCTAAAGGGCTATGCAAAAAGACCTGGAAGTAGTTACATTCTTATTCCACCAGTGTCTCAAATAAACACCTCCATCGTTTCTCCACAATGTCCCTGTGAATATCAGACCACAGATGAGCAGAAATGGGTTCCTGTCATGACATCCAGCTCTGATCTGACAAGGTGGAGAGTTGCATGCTTTCAAACAAAAAGCAAATTGCTTTCAGGGGCCAGTTATTGTGAAGCCTTGTTCCCTGACAGCTAGTGGAGCTTGTTCTATGGAGCTTCTACTCAGCCTTCAGACATGGTAGCTAACCTTTGTCTTATGGTGTGTCCCTGAACTCAGGGTCAGTATTACATAAATATGAACCAGCCAAGAGATCAAGACCAGGGTTTAGCTTGCAGTGAAAACACAGTTGTGCTCCTGTTCATTCCAGTTGCTGTTTGGAATATCGAATAAGAACAAAGCTGTACTGGCATGTTACAAAGAGGCAGCTGTGTATGCAGAAGCAAGGGAAGAAGCTTTCAATCAAAGCCTTTGTAGTCTCAGCCACCCACACTGCAAACCAGCATAGGCTGTGCTACATGGACAGTGTCTTCTCCCCGGAACAGCTGCTTTCTAGGTGGGTGGTCAGGTCACTGCAGGCTGGCCGTAATTTTAACCCAGAGTCAGCAGCAGCATCCATGGCACCTTAGATGTCTTCCCATTCCAATCTTGCAAGCCTGGTTTAGCAGGAGCAGCAAAGAGTGCACCATCAGACTGGGAGAGGGGGCTAAGAGATAGGCTACCACAGGCATCAGTACTGCAGGCTCCCTCACACTGAGACCTGCAGGAAAATGGGGGCACACAGTGTGCAACCAAGCATCCAACATCGTTTCCCAAGGATATACATACTTGTCCAGTCCAGGGCTCCATCCTGGTCAAGGGTGCAGGTGGAGGACGGATCCTCAGAAACACGGACGGTGAGAGCTTGTAGCAGGATCATTAAAATCACACCTTCAATTTGGCTGTGGGGAGAAGCCAGCGTGGTTGTGATACCTGCCTGATTCATCAGTGCTGCAGACAAGCCCAGCTTCCCCAGTGAGAAGAACAGGAAGCCCCTTTCTGGAGCAAAGAAAGCTACTGCTAGCTTCCTCTGGGCCAGGTGCTTGGTTAACTGGCCCTTGCTTACACGGTATCCAGGTCAGCCTTTCAGCACGCTCCAGACATGGTGGCAGCATGGTAGGAGCACTATACATTCCCTCCAGAGGCATGCAGATGAACTACAGCTGTCAAGGAGCTGAGGCTTAGTCACTGGGCAGAGACTTAGAAATACCTCTCACTGCAGGACTGAGGACTGGGAGGAAGTCAGGCAATGACTTCAGCTTCTTCCTCATTCATAGCTGGCTGGCTATGAATGAGGCAATGGTCCACAGCAAGTAGGAGACAACTGCCTTCAAAGGCAGTGCCTAACACCCCTCTTTGACTGATGCTCTTTGCTTCTACAGTTCCACCTGACGTACATATATGGCACCAGGCCATGCGTATCTGCTTAGGGCTCCAACAAGTCATTCCTGCTGTAGTCCAGTGCCAACCCTAAGCATGTCAATTGACCACAGGAAGGACGGTCACTACCCCATCTGTTGTGGCCAGCTGCCCTCTGCGTGATGAGCCCCATCTCCCTCAGCAGAGCAATGGGACCTGTCAAGTCCTTGTACTGCCATGGGAATGAGTGCCCCTTTCAGGCACATAGAGCCCATCTGCTTCAAAGGTTAAGAGATGCTGGGCATGGTTAAATCCTGATTTGTGCCAAGCAAGCGAGACCTTCGTATTCCTTCTTGCTTTTCTTGCACCAATTTCACACACTCTTCCTTCCTCTAAAACCTTAGCTCTTTGGCTCTATGGCTCAGGCAGCCAGCTTCCCCCTTATCATGGTCATGTGCATGGACACCAGAAGGAAGTACAACAAGGTGGCTACCACTGATGTCCTCCCTCTTCTTTGTTTGCTTCCCCACCTCTGTGTGTGTGCCTATGTGTTCAAACCCAAGCCTACTTACCTTGCAACAAAAATCAGGCCTGTAGATGTACCCTCTCCCACAGGGTAGGAACACTCCACAGCCAACTCCATGGCAATAGGATAGATGGCAAAACCAAAGAAACCAAAGAGCGAGCTGGTGATGGCCAGCATGACAGCCTGGTTTCTGAACCGAGAAGTCTGCAGGCAGAAGAGAAGAGAAATGAAGTCTCAATGTCAGCACAGTTGCACAGAAAGTCTCTGAACCCATAATCTGCAGGAAGTCCTAAGGACTCTGTTCTCACCAGTACCTTCCCTATGTTTTCCTGAAATCTTTTATCTCCGAACCCCTGAAGTCAACAAATGGCTACATGATGGAGATTTATCTGTTGAATTTAAGCAAGAAGAGACAGGATCAGCAGAATTACCTGAAAAGCAGTAGTGTGGTCATATATCTGTGACCTGACTTCCTGGTCAGTAACTTATCAGAAGCATACTAGCACCAAGTGAAACACACAGCTTCCTCCTAGGTCAAGCTAACATTTAAGAATTGGTGTTTGCATTGGGTTACATGTGACAATTCAGTGGGTTGCTGCAGCACATTGATAAGGAAGACTATGCCACAGTTGCAGAGCTCAGTGCCAAGGGAAGTTATTCCTTATCATGGCAGACTCATGTTTGTAACACTGGGGTTTTACCACAAAGAGCCCCCACAAAGCAAACAAAAAGAAATCAACCCTGAAACATTCATAAACCCTCAAGATCGGTTTAGTGCCTAGAACAGCCTTGTCCCTAACTCTTGAGGAAAGAGCATGGCCTTGTCCAGCCAATGCTAGAAAGAAAAAAACATATATCCTGCAGCCACAGTGCTGATACCTCATTCCTTAATCATGTAAGAAAGTCACACAGAGGAACATGAGGTCTGAACTGGCATGGCTGCAGCAGGCCTGGTGCAGCTGAACTAGTAGAGTCAAGGAAGACTCTGTGTCTGGAATCTGAGTTCAAAGTATCAAGGCAGCAAGCAGATTTGAAGAGGTATTTTTTGGTTTACTACTTTGAACATCCCATCTGTATGGGATGAATGTGGTGGAGAGAAGGGGAGGATGGAAAGGTCTGCTTGTTGCTCCTGATACAGTCTTTTGCCTATGCCATGCTTTACCTGAGCCCAGGCACTCTGACTTGCATTCAGATCATCCCCCTAACAAATCCCAAAGTACTAAGCAGGGAAATGAAAGGTTTGCTTTAGGCATCTTGTCCTACACTGAGAAAGGCACTGCATTTATCTGTCTCTTCAAAGTAGAGTTAACATCACTGGGATCTTGGCCCAGGGGAACATGTGATCATGCTGTATTGAAACTCTGGATTTTTCAACACACAGGAGAAATGCACAGCACAAGTCTATTGAAAAAGCAGAGTCCTGCACCAGTCTGGATCCTCTGCACTGCTAGGAGTCCTCTGCCTCATGCTCAGGTTCCTGCTGGGTGATGGCTCCCATTGGCAATGACTATGCTCAACTGCAGTACTTGTACTGCAGCTCCATGGGAGTAAAGTCTCCAGGTTCTGAATTCCTCTCCTGGCTGTATTCAAGTGCCTCCCTTTTCTGCCTCTCTGTCTTGTATTCCTTGAGGAACTACTGCAGAAACAGACACATAACAAGGTCCTTTCTGCTAATCTTACACTCTTGGCAGCCACCACTGTTGAAAACAAGTGTTGGGAAAACTACGTCATTCTTTTTCATTTTTTGTAAGATGAGTATTTAGTAATTCCATCTTTTTTTGGGAAGAGTGGTCTTAGGGACAGTAAACAAACATGGTGATCCAATGTGAACAAGTAAAATTATGGCAATTTATTTATATCCTGAATATATCTCAGGCTCCACAGTGACTGTGAAATCCTCAGTAAAGGGTTTTTCTTTAAAACATTTGTAGCCAAGAGGGATCATCGCAAAGCATGACAGGTGGCTTATTGAATGTTGTGACATCAGATAACCTTGGTTTGAGTTGATGATTTATTGGATGGTAACAGAACTGAGCCCACAGGTATGGTGCAAAGCAAGGGAGAACTCACCACTGCAAACACGATGCTGGCAAGTGCACTCAAGCAGAAACAAACCTTGGTGGACTCTATGAACTTTCTTGTCCGGTCGACATACAGGCCTAGCAGGAATGCACCCAACAAACCACACATTGTGAACAGTGCACCATTCAGGCCAGCAAATTCCTGGAAGGCAGAAGAATAAGTAACTGAGCAACTAGAGCAGTCAGGAAAGAGGTTTTAGTATCACTGATCCTTCTGCCTGCTGCTGCTGAGGTAGGAGAAGCTTCCTGGCCTGTTGCAGTCCAGGAGGCCTCCATAGGGCTGAGTAGCAAGTAACAGGGCTGAGGTGCTGCTACAGGTGTGAGAGGACACCCAGGGCACATCACTCCCAAGGTCTCTATGGATGACAGGTCTCTGCAGACCTAGCAAGGGAGGCTGGGTGCATAGCAGCAGTAGTTCCCTAGCATTAAATGCTCCAGTGCATGCATGCAACTGTACTCTATGGGTAATCAGGTGATTTGTCCACACTTGGTAACAGGTCCAACTGCCTTGGGATCTGCTGCTGTTTATAATCACGCCCCTGACCCTTTTCTTACCAGGGACCACAAGGCAGGCATCCCCAGAGTGTTAGACAAGACATAGCATCACTTGGCTGTAGCAATGAGGTCTAATTAGCCAGTGAGCAGTAGTTAGGATGGGGTACATGCTCTGTTGCCTGCAATGACTTTGTCCTCCTCCTTCAGCTCCATAAAAATTCAAACGCAGAAACCAATTCTGAAAGCAGGGAAGCTTTAGCAAATTTGGGTAAACATTTTTCAGAGCCTCAGGGGCAGACTGGAAGGAAAGGGTACCTGGAATAGCTTCTGTGGGCTAAATGGCCAGGACAAGCAAGTCACACACAAGACTAAGGCATTGTGATGCACACAAAGCAAGGCTACAAAGTTTAAAAAATTTTCACTTAAAATCCAATGGAGCGTGCAAGTGTGACCTGACCAGAGAGGTCACATACTGGTTATCAGACCTGGGAGCTGAGAGGGAGTGGACGGAGACCAGAGGTGTGGATGTGCAGATACAAAAGCTGGAGGGGTGTTTTAAGAAGACCTCCATGGGAATATAAGCAGCAGGACTGAAGTGCTGCCTGCCTGAGGGGAAATGCAGGAACTGGGGCAGACCCTTGCTATTGCAGGAAGCAAGCAGGAGGAATAAGCTGTGCACAAACTGTGCTCAACTGTAAAAGCAGCACCTGGCCAGAGTCATGGGAAGGGTGGGGAAATAACCATTACAGTACTTCTGACTTCATCTGCTGCCCTGGCTTCATGAAAGACTGCAAAGAGGAAAAGGTACTTGCATCAGCCTGCCTTCAGTTTCATTCTAGTGCCTGCCTGGGCCCCATCCTAGTCTGGGGAAAGTGTCCGGAGGCTGCATAGGCATCAGTGGTCTGGAGTGGGTTAGAAAAAGCACACTACTCTTTTTTTTTTTTCTCAAAAAGTGTTTGATAAGTAAAGGCTTTTAATTTGCAAATGGGAGCCTGACCATGGACAGTAATGAAAATGCAGATCAGCCTCTATACTGAGAGACTGTGCTCTGGATTAACATGCTATCTATGTTAGATAATATGAGCAAATAAGATATAAGACAATGCACTGTATTCAGCTGTCTTCATTTTGCTCAGAGTTCCTTGTCAGGGAAAATCTTTTTTATGGTATGTGGGCAACGGGCAGGAAAGAAGGAAGACTCACATTTGAATACCCCTTCTCACAAAGGATCTGTTCTAGCAGAGCTGAAAAGCAGGTGAACATCCCAATTCCTCCTCCAAAGCACACTGCCAGGATGATGTACGCCTTGTTTCTCAGGAGCTAGAGAAAGAAGTTAACATAACATTTAAATAAGTGGAGGAGGAAAAAAGGCATGGCTGTAACAGTAGAGTTGAGGGTCGGTGGCTATGACCCCTCATTTGGAAATGTTGACAGGGCAACCCCATGATCACTAGAGGAGTTTGGCTCTCTCCTGTCACTTCAGCCAGATAACAAGTCCAAATATGGGGAGGAATGGTCTTTTCAGTGCCCAAATTCTTCCTTATTTTGCCATGTGCTCTCTCAGCTGCTCAGAAGGCTCAGGTTAAGCAGTCATCTTGGACGAGCCCAGCTGTGCCTCTCTGGGCTAGTCAAATGGCAGCCAGGCCACAGCTGAATGGTCAGAGAGTGTCTCTCACAGCTTTGCTGTGAGCAGCTTCTGCTCCCTGAGGAAGGGACGGAGGGAAGGAAGGGAGGGAGGGTGGGAGGGAGACGGAAGGAAGGAAGGGAGGGAGGGAGACGGAAGGGAGGGAGGGAGACGGAAGGAAGGGAGGGAGACAGAAGGAAGGGAGAGAGGAAGGGAGGAGGGAGGGAGGGAGGAAGGGAGGAAGGGAGGAAGGGAGGAAGGAATCCTGGTCTCCTTCAGGAAGCTTTCCATGGCAGCTTTGGTGGAGTGCAGTTCAGTGTCTGCTTTGTCAGCAGATTCCCCAGCATATCCCTGTCTAGCAGGGCTGCATTCGTCACTCCAGCATGGGTCTCTTTCTGTGCTACAGCACTTACCATTTTGAGCCCTGCGAGGAATGGCTGGGAGGTAGAGGTAGTGGCACTGGCCGAAGGAGGTGTTGGAGGCACCTTCTCGTGAATCCCCACAGTTGCCAGAGCACAAGCTGTTACTGCCGGGATGGCATAAACACCCAGCTACACAACACAAAGTAAAGACATGTTAACAATCTTTCCAGCACCATTGCCTCCAAATAAATCTATTAGCCCAGCTGGCTGATTAAAGTAGTCTTCATTTACCATCAAAGGGATGCGCTTTCCTTCAGGCACTAGTGCAGGTGACAGCACGTTTGCTATTAGAATACCCAAGGGATTGGCTAGAAGGAAATAAAAGAGACACTTTTTCATGCAAGTAGTCAGAATCATGTGTCCACCCCTACTGCCAGTCAGCACCAGAGCTGCAGTGTGCAGCAAAGCAATGAACAGGGACAGAAAAAAGACATATAAAGGGAGAAACCAGGAAGGCAACATTTGGAGAAGTTGATTCTGTGGTCTCACTGTTGACACATCTGTTCCCTCACCCCCATGAAGCCCATTGTCTCAATCTGTTTCCCTACAGATTGGTTCTCATCTATAAATTACAGTGTCCTAACCCTCACAAAGCTGCCTCAGTAAATGCTAAGCTGAAGGAACAAAATGAAGATGGACAAACCTGTGACATCTGTGCTTATGTTATATAGCAGCAGTAACAATTAGAACTTTCCATTGTTTACTGCTCCTATGCCATCAGGTACATATACACATGGATGAGATCCCCAATCTGCTCATCCTGAGCCTTCTCAAGGGTGAGCAGCCCCAGCTCTCTCAGCCTTGGCTGACATGACAGATGCTCCATTGCCTTAATTGTCTTGGTAGCTCTTAATCGGACTTACACTAATATATCCATATTCTTCTTGTACTGAGGAGCCTATAACAGGACACAGCTCTTCAGATGTGGACAGGGTACCTCCCTTAAGATGCTGGCAATGCTATTCCCGATGGTCATGAGGATGCCACTGGTCTTATTTGACAAAAGACATGAAAAGCAGGAAAACACTGTGACAGCTCTCTAAATTGACACCTTTCAAGACAATATATTACCCCAGTAAAGCCCAAGCTGCCATACAAGATTATCTCTGCTACCAACTACAAAAAGTTACATAGCACAAGAAAATCTTGGACGCTTGCCTGTACTGGAGTAGGGGGTTGCATTGTTACGGGGCTAGAGCTGAGGAGTGTGTGAAGCAGTACTGCTGGGACTCAGCCTGGGAATGTCTAAAATTGCAGGAGACATTATTTTAACTTTTAGGGTGATGTTCTGCAAATGGTCAAACGAGTGAAAGTTGATTTTTTACTAGTGTGTAGGAATGGGATTGAGAAAACCAAAGCCAACCTGGAATCGAGTCTGGTGAAGGGCAGTAAGAATGGCTTCTACAAATACATTAGCAGCAAAAGGAAGATTAAGGAAAATGTGAGCCTGCTGCTGAATGGGGCACGAGACTTGGTGACAAAGGACACGGAAGAGGCCAAGGTATTCAATGCCTTCTTCACCTCAGTCTTTACTGGTAAGGCTGGCCTTCAACCCTGAGACTAAAAGTTGAAGTCTGGAGCAAGGAAGATCTACCCTTAGTGGAGGAGGACTATGTTAGGGAACATTAACTAGACCAGACATACAGTCCATGGGATGATGTCATCCACCCATGAGTGCTAAGGGAGCAGACTGTTTTCACTGCAAGGCCATTCTTGGTTATCTTTAAAAGGTAGGTCATGGCAATTTCAAGAGGCTTCTGAGGACTGGAAGAGAGTGACTGCCGCTCCCATCATTAAGAATGGCAATAAGGAGAATCCAGGGAACTCCAGGCCTATCAGTCTCCTTTTGATCCCTGGGAAGGTTCATGGAACAACTAATCGCAGACACCATTTCCAGGCACATGAAGGGCAACAAAGTGAGCAGTAGTAGTCAGCAAAGGAGAAATGCTTAACCAACCTAATAGCTTTCTACAGTAAGATGACTGGCTGGGTGGATGTTTTTTTATCTCAGCTTTACTAAGGCTGTTGATACTGTCTCCCACAACATCCTCATAGACAAGCTGGCAAAGTACTGGCTAGATAAGTGGACAGTGAGATGAACTGAAAGTCAACTGAACAGCTGAGCCCAGAGGATTATTGTCACTGGCATGAAGTCAAGCTGGAGGTCAGTCACTAGTGGTGCACCCCAGGGGTTAGTACTGTTTGGTACTGGGGCCAATACAGTTTAACCTTGAAGAAAAACCTGGACAACAGGGCAGAGTGCACCCACAGCCAGTGTGACACTGTGAGGAGTGGCTGACAGAACAGATGCCTACACTGGCATTCAGAGGTTCCTCAAGAGGCTCAACCTTGTGAAGTTCAACAAGAGAAAACATAAAGTCCTGCACCTGGGGAGGAATAAACCCCTCCACCAGTACCCACTGGGGATGACCAAATGTAAAGCAGCTCTGCAGAGAAGGACATAATGTGGGGGAGAAGATCCTGGTGGACATCAAGTTGACCATGAACCAGCAACACCACCTCACGGTAACGAAGACCATCAGCATACTGGGCTGCATTAGGTGGAATAGTATCAGCAGGAGGTGATCCTTCCCCTCTACTTGGCAGTAGTGAGGTCACATCTGGGGTACTGTGTCCAGTTCTGGGCTCCCCAGTATGAGGGAGACATGCACTTACTGGTCCAGCAAAGGGCCAAAAAGATGAGCCTCTGTCATGTGAGGAGAGACTGAGAGAGCTGGGACCAATCAGCCTGGAGAAGCTGCTTGAAATCAGTTTTGCAGAGAAGGACATGGATAGACTGCAAGTGTAGCATGAGCCAGGAAGGCACCTTTGCAGAAAGGTGTCCAACAGCATCCTGGTCTACATTAGGCAGAGCATTGCCAGCAGGTGAAAGATGGTGAATCTTCCCCTCTACTCAGCCCTGGTGAGAAGCATCTGGAGTGCCAAGTCCTGTACTGGGCTCCTCAGTACAAGAAAGATACGTAGTTAATGGAGCAAGTCCAGTCAAGGGCCAAAGACATGATTAAGGGACCAGAGCATCTCCCACACGTAAAGAGGCTGGGACAGCTGGGACTGTTCAGCCAGTAAAGAACTTAGATCGAAGATTGTACAGAAGAGGGAACCACACTTTTCTCAGTGGTGCCCAGTGGCAGGATAAGAGGCAATGTGCAAAAACTTTAACACCGGAGAATCTATCTGAATATAAACTTTTTTCCTGTAACAGTGTTTGAACACTGAAACAAGCTGCTCAGGTAAGTTGCAACATCTCCACCCTTGGACATAGCCAGAACCTGGGCAACCTGTTCTAGTCAACCATACTTGAGCAGAGGGTTGGACAAGACCAAGAGGTGCCTCCTAACCTCGTCTGTTCTGTAATTCTGCTAAGGCATCATTAACAGTGCCCCACAGAACACAACCACCATAGAATTTCTGTTCTGTGTTTGTACTAGCTTATGATCCTGGTGAAATCTTACCTGCTTCTATGTAGGCAGACACAATTAAACAACAGTTTCCAAGGAGATAGATTAAAGCTTCTCTGTTGGGGTAAAATGTGTCTGGGCATTGTAACAGACTGCCTGAAAGGTACTGTCAGATGTTTCCATGAACTATCAGCATGCTAAAGCAGTTCCTGAAGGTGTGGGATAGGGGTGGGAATGTGAGCATTGGGCTAAATTTGAAAAGACTAAGTGAGACTATTTGAGTAATTACAGGGTTTCAGCCGCTTTCTCTTCCTGAGAAGAGAAATTATATGAGCCAAAAGGAAGAAATTAAAAGGTCACTTGAGTTAATGAACTGTACATTATGGTCCAGGGGTCCTGATGGATTTGCTCGCAGTACTCTGCAATGGGAATGTGTGTTTTGTGGACAGCGATGTTGACGCACTAAAACTGCAGGGTGCAGAAAAAAGACAAATGACATGCTGACAGACAGCAGTAAATGAAGCAGAGGCCACTTCAGTGGACTCAGACAAGTCTTTCCTGTCTGACACAGGACAATTTCTCACAGTCTTCAGAGGCCAGCTCTTAGCCCTGCATTGCTTCTCTGTAGGTAGGTCTCTGTAAGTGATGGGGAGAACCAAAATAGGATAAATACTCAAAAGAACAGCTGAGTCATAGTGACTTCAGCTGCTCCACCAGATCTTGTTTTGTCACAAAAGCACAGGCAAGCCTACCCAGAAGCACTGGGGATACTGACAGGAGGCTGTAGGACTGGTTTCTATGTGCAGCAGTGATACTGACAGTACTGGAATGCCGAGTGCTTCTCTGGCACTAATACAGGAAATGGGTATTGATAAATTGGAGCAAGATGAGAGAAAAAGCTCAAGTGAGCAACATGCAGACATGGAGACATGTGGGAAGAGGCGAAAGGAAATATCGTCATAAGGTGACTGGGTTGAAGCCATTCAGTCTTTATAGGCAAAGGAGAGAAGAGGTGACTGTCCATAACTACCTGACAAACGGGTGCAACAAGACTGAATAGCTGGGGGGATAGGAGCATCAAGACAAGAAGTAACATGTAGGCATTTGCCAGTGAGGTAATTAACCACAGAGTAAATTACTGGGGCTGTGGCAGATGCTCCTTCCTTCTAGGCAATATTTAAACCTTCTTGAAATGAAATCCTGATTTTGTACAGCACAGTAATGGGTGTAGCCAGATATTATTAGCGGAAGCCCTTTAAACAGCAATATGCAAGTGTTGCAGCAGATAATAATCACTGTACATACAGTCCTCACACTGAAATCTCAACATGCTACCGACTGAACAGCCTCAGATCTTGGGTTTCCACTGTTCCTTGCTCTTCAGTTTTATTCTGTCCTACAGTTAGATCCATTTGATCCTGTAAGGACTGAGAACACTTTTTAATTTTTTTTACTTTTACACAAAGTGAAAGAAATGCCTTTTGGCTGCTCTCTCACTTAAAAAGAGTAAGTTGCCTGCAGGGTGGAGTCCTTCAGGGCAGTGAAGGATGAAGTGCCCAGTGGTCAGCCCCTGGTAGTACTTGTATTACACCACACAGACAACAGAGCCCCTTCTCCAGCACGCAAGATGAAGGTCTGTCTGCGTCCTGGGAAACAAGGTGGGCCACAGGTCCATTCTATTCTAGGGAAGGCACTGCAAGAAGAATTTATTTGTTCTGACGCTATAAACCCATTCTTACTAAACAACAGTGCCTGTGCTCTGGGTTTGCAGCAGCATTGGAAAAGCGGTATAAGGGTGCCCCTTTACTGCCCTATTCTCCATGACTATGCCTTCCCAACTCCAAGACAGTAGGGAGAGAAGGTGGCTGTTGGCTGTTTTGAGGGAAGGGCAGACGGGGCTGCCCCACACATTTAGGTACTGTAAGATTCCTGGCTGGAGCCAGTGAGCCAGCCCAGTTTCTGCAGCACCTCTCAAGTCTTTGGAGAAAGGAGGAAGAGCTTTCTTCTCGCTGCTGGGGAGAATGTCACATGGAGGGATGAAATAGGTCTGTCAAGTGCAGTATCCTGTCTCTAGCAGGGCCCAAAAGAGCAAGAGAGGAATGAGATTAGAGCAAGTGTACCTGGTGCCTCCCCTCCAGTTTCTCAGCTTCCAGACAACTTGCAAGGCGGATGTGGTTTCTGCATGGATAGTCCTGCTGCATTTAGCATCCCCAACATGTTTGTGTGGCCAGCTCTGTATATTTTATCTGTGTGTGCATACACTGAGCCTTGCTACTGAATGAACTGGTGGACAGAATTGCTGCAGCAGCCTCACCTCTATCTGGTTACAGAATTTGGCAATTGTGACCACTGGCATCAAATGCAATTTGGACACCTTCCTAACAAGTTGCTGAATTAAGGCCACTACAGACATTAAATAAGTAATGCTGAGGACTATCCCCAGCCTCTATGATATTTACTTAAGGACGATCACCTTGTCATTGCAGAGAGGAAGGAGGTTGGGAGCCTGGGTAGCTTACTTTGAGTACTGCACCTGGATTTGGCTAAGGCCCACTTCTTGCTCCCCAGCTTGGAAAAGCTGTCTTGCAGTGCCTTGAAGGCGCTGGTTTATTGCACATGGCTACGAGAGTCTTGGATAGAGTGGTATACGCAGGGCCAAATGGGTGTAGTACAGAGGGTTTCCTTTGCCTGCTGCCTCTGAAAGGCAAACAAATGCAGCAATATTACTTTGCAGCTATCACTTACACATTGATGCAATCGTATTTGCTGTTGCTCTCTGGTGGTCTGGAAACCATAGTGCTGCCAGCTTTGTCGGTGAAAAGATGATAAGGGGCTGTGCCAGTGCACAGAGGCACTGCCCAGTAAATAGGTACCAGTAACTCTGGGAACCCAAGTTCAGGAACTTCAGGACACTGAAAACCCGGATGATGCCACCCATCATGTTCAGCCACGCGCTCAGGATCACCTGCAGCAAGCAGAAACAGACATGATTTGTGTGCTGAAGCCTGAAGGGCAGAACTTAATACAACTGAGCAGCTTGAGCCAGGTCTCAGATGCACTACAGGAGACACTGAGTGTTAGTAATCACTGCATGCGAAGTTGCCTGCAGACCACCCCTTTGGGCTACTACAGGATGCTCCTGATCCAGCAGTGAGTTACCTGAAACGTTAGGCAGCATGGTGGCTGTCCTGGCCAAACATAAGAACTACACCACAGTATATTATGCAAGACAGAGGATATTGTAATGGAATTGATGAGATATTCAAAGTTCAGTAATTAAGTTCTGTTTGCAAGTTTGCACCATCACCCATATTTTGATGTGACAATCTAAAGATCATAGCAATGAGTCATTCAGCCTGCAGATGCTGCAAATGCTCATCCACGCCACCAGCATGCTAGTGTTTCAGTGCCACATTCTCCAACACTCTTGCTTCTGGGAATACTGTGTAGAGATCCCAAGATGGCTTAGCATAGACCCCTGAGCTTACAGGGGTCCCTTGCTTGCATCCTGCCCTGCTGCCCCTTAAACTGGCCCTGCAAACAAAAGAGCCGTGCTATCACTTCTCTGCAGCAAAGCCTACCCATTTACAACAAGCTCTTCACAGGAGCAGCCCACAGCATCTGTCCCTGTCAGCTGACTAAGACAACAAAAACTGAAGCAAGAAAAGGCAAGTAGGGATGCAACATTATTCTGATTTTTCCCACTGCTACCCACCTTAGAGGTGACGCGACAGCTATTAGGGAAGCAAGACAGCGCTTTCAACATTCTCATCCTCTGCACTATTTGGCAAGACTCCCATACTGCTATCTTTAGGTGAAAACACCCTCAGGAAAACAAAACAGTTCAACTCACGGCACATCTGAGCCCCAAGCTGTCAAGAACCCACGTTGCCACCAGACCAAATGGGATCGAGATGAGGAGGTACACTACTGAGAGCCAGTTGACCATCTCCAGGGAAATGTGGAAGTAGACCGCTGTCTTATCAGCCACAGGAGCAAACGTCAGCCACAGCTGCAGAGAGCAAAAACTGGTAAACATGAACACCTCCACCAGAACAGAAGTGTAGCATACCCTCAGACTGAGTTGTGAAAGAGTTTGCCATCTTAGTTTCTCCTTGAAATTGCAATAAAGCTGATAGTAAAAATTCAAACCCACAATGTCTGCAGTTACTCATGCTAGGACTATTTTACTACTGGCATCGTTGTTATTTTGGCCCAGAGCACAAAATCCATTTGACTACCTCATCCCCAGTCACCTAGTCCTGCTGCTGGTAGATGGCAGAAGCAGAGGTCAGTACCTTTTTCTGTCCCCTGGTTGTATATGTTGGCCCCTGATGCACTTACCTGATGCAAGCAATTCTTACAAGCAATCCTTCCATGCTACCATAAACCAAACAGAGGCTGCCATCTCTTCTTTGCAGCTAAGAGCCTCTTAAACTGAGCCTGATACTTAGTTACTGGTAATCCCTGGATGAGGCCTTGTAAGGACAACTTTGCTATGTGTTGGCCAAGACATTATTCCATGCTGTCTTATACCCACTCAACAGCTAGGTAAGGGTCTAGAAATCCACATTATTGAGTGCTTCAGAACATGTAAACACAACAGATAACTATTCAGTAACTATCCGTTTTTACCTTTCAGTGCCAGATCTGAAAATATTTCCCTAGAGCTCGTTTTAGGTACATAAGATTGCTGTCCGCTTCTGATTTCTTCTGGAAAAAATAGGGCCTGCTTTGATCCTCAAATCAGGTCCTGAGATCTTGCCCACAAGGAAGAAATAAGGGTACTACCCTATTTTAAGGATGCTTCTGTGGGTTCTTTGTGAAAATGTGCCCTCTCTGGTGGCCTAACCTGAGAACAGGTTTTAATAATGTGAATGTAAGCTACTCCACTGTTAGAAGATCACCTCACAGCTGTTGTATACTTAAGATGATCAAGTTTGCAGAAACGTGAACAAAAGCTTCAGCTACAGCTTCTTACAAAAGAACTCCAGCCGCTGTCTCTTTCCAGGTACCCCTCTCTGCCATTACAAGCTTTCACTTCACAGCCCGCATCCTGCAGAGAGCATCACCTGCGGCATTAATGTATAATTGAAAAGGGCTTTGGTAACCTCAGAGGAAGGTGTGCCCCTACACTCTGCAACTTCTTATTTCCAGTGTTCCTATTTACTTCTTACACACTGGATACCACAAAACCTACCACAATGAATGGAAGCAGAAGTGACGATGAGCTTTTCTTCTTTCTTAGTGTCAAAGTGTGAGAACAGCCACATGCAAATCATTGTTTAGCTAAGCTTTCTCCTTGCAGGGATGTAATAAATAAATGGCAGTAACAGAAATTCTGAATGTATCATCAGTGCCCTAGCAAGGACTCCAAGCATTAGGCCTTTGCTCCTTGCTGAAAGGAGTCGACATGCCAAATCTCCTGCATTCAACACAAAGCTCACATCACCACACTGGGCTCAGACCAAGCCCACACTCACGTGGCAACAGTCAAAGGTCTGGCAGGGGACAGATCTGGTGTTTACTCAGCTTCTACAATCAGGTGGATGAAGATGCTGGGCGCTGAAAGAAACTGTACTCGTTAGACAAGGAGGCTGTTCCAGGTCACTGGGAGACTTGCAGCAGAGATCTAGTAACATGAGCTTTTTAAAATTCCTTGAAATAGTGTATTATACTGGAATGATGTTATTGTCTTGTCTCAGGAAGAAATTTCACCCACCTTTGTTTTCCAGAACTGATCTGCATCATATTGGGACAGGAATTTGAATGTTTCATGCTATTGTAACTGTTTAAATGTTACAAGCATCACTAAGGCATGAGCATTAGTTTGATTATGGGATGCTAAGCTGCTGCTGAACAAACCCCATCTGTGTATTTCCAGCAACAGCAATTCTCAGTTCCTCACTGTCTTCCAGATTGGGCTGGTGATGAAACACCTTACAGGGAACAGTGTTATTAAAGAGATGGTACATTTTGTAAGCCAGCTTGAGGTAGATTTTCACTTTTCCCACTCCTCCACACAAGACCCTCACCCATGCATGACATCACTAGAAGAGTGATGCCACTCTCCTAATGCTGGAGCACAGCATTTTGCCTTCAGTGGCTGTATACACCTAGGCAAGCTGGGATCAAGCACTCTGGCAGGTTTCCGTTAGACCTCGCAAAACCATTCCTTGCTGACAACCAAGCATTTGGGCTGCCCTGTATTTCTATCCTAAGCAAGAGTACCAGTTCTAGCGTGTGTGAGAGCACAGAAGGTGGGAAACTGCAGCATGCCCAAGCCTGAGTTTGCTCTTCAGAATAGGAAGTGGGTTTCTTTATGAAAAAGTATGGTTTTGACTCCATTCAGGCAAGGGCTGTTTAGCCTGTCTTGGTTTAACAGAGAAATTCAGAACTGGGCAATGGAGCTTGAGGTGCAGCTGTGGTCAAAGTGGTGGCCAGGTGACCCAGCAAGAAAGAGATGGCATCGTCAGATTTTGCCAACACAGGGAAATTGCCATGCTAAGCAAGTGAGTATGCCACCTTCTGCTTTAGATTTTCTCAGCTATAATGACTTTATCCACAGTAGTTAGTGAGCTCTTCTGCTGGGAGCTTGTGCCCTCTTCTCCTACATGTTTTTTCTGAAACTCTGCCAAGGCTGGTAGTTACTCAGGGACTGCTGTGATACATGTTCCCTCAGGCAGAACAGGGTGAGGATGATGCAGCTCTTTTCCTAGCAAGGTCTAAGCCCTGTAACAGCTTAAGAAGCAGAACAGAAACCGAGAGGTTCCTTTCTCCTCCATCCCCCAAGGGCCATTACCTTCACTCTGCTTTGCCACACCAAAACCAGTATCAAAGCTCCGTACTGTAGACGACAGATGCAAAAGAAGAGAGAATGTGTGGGCTGGTTGCTCCTGGGACAGATAAAAGAGCAACCTCTGTCCTTGCAGGGCTGTCTACACACTTTTCCAATCCCCGCACCCTTTTCTTCTAGATAACCTTTTGTTTTTTCTTCTCCTGCACCTTCCAGAAACTGCCTGCTCTCTTCCCCACTAATTGTAGGCCTGCTTGGGCACTCCTCTAACCAAGAGCAGGTTACAGCTGTTCCCATCCTGCCCTCATTTCTAAGCCAGTTTGTTGCTCTTTCTGATACCCTGATAAACCCCTGATTCTTGGACATGGATTTGGCTGTCTTCCTCCCAGTACTAGCCCAACCCCTTCAGTTTTCCCCCTCCTCTCAGTCCCTTCTACCTCCATCTTCTCCAGGTTCCGTTCCTCTACCCTGTTGCCTTTACTGTTTTCACTCCACCACAGACTCTCCAGGACCTATTTTACCTACAGGATTCAACTTCTCTCCATCCATTCCAAGGGAGCCCAACATTTGCCCTCTCTCTCACCTCTGCAGGAGGTAACCAGTGGGCTGTGAACCACCAATTCTCTGTCTGCAATGGCTGAAGGCAGGACTCCATACAGACTTTACACTTTGGTAAGCAGCAGTTGTGAGCTGCTGTTTGTGAGCAGCATAAATAAATACTGCCCCAGGATTTCTGGAGCTCAAAGAGCAGTAGGGATATATATTGATGCATCACACGTATAACTAGGCACGCTCCTGCCAGAAGCAGTACCAAAAATGTTGTTCATGAAACGCAACTTATTAACCAATGTCTGCTCTCCTTTTCAGCAAATCAAGATTCTGAAAGTGAAAAGCAAATCGACTTGTAGAATGGCAAGTGCATGCAATCAGGCAGGTTGCAAATTAAGCCATTTTGCCATGTCAGCGGTGGTATTAGCTAGCTAAGGCTGCCGTATGTAGTGTTCTTTACTATCTGGCATATTGTATAGGTGTGCACAGTGTAGAAATGCCTTTGTAATACCTTTTATGTACAGCTTGAAGAGGAGGAGCCAACAGGACAAATTAGATGAAACAGGATGTTCTGCTTTGTAAGAGGCACAGCTTGCCTATCCCCAGGCTAGTACTGCCTGCAGCCTCTCTCCCAGTCCCAGCATGCTCTCTCCCATTCACCTAGGCACTGCTTTGAAGGTGATGTAGGATGTCTTTCTGAGACATGAAGGCTGCCTCCTCCTCGCCTGGGCTGGGGTTAGGGTAAGGCTATGAAGACCTTACACCGGAGTCCTCATCTTCAAGGTCAAAAGGAACCTACAGTCTTGAAGCAAACAGCCCGTGGCCTCATGTGAAGGCACCCATGCTGACACAGCAGCCTAGCAAGTAAGGGCAGAGGCAAGACATTCATACAGGTCCGATTCCTGCAGCTCTCAGGAGGAGTACAGGACACAAGAGCCAGGCAGCAGGAGCTGTGAGCACTTGCCTATCTACAGTGGAACTGCTGGAGCACACAGGCCAGGAGCGTGCAGGCCCTGCCCTGGAGCATGCCAGTCCCCACTTGATCAACTCTCCTTCCTCTTCCAAGTACACTAAGAGGTGGTAGAAGTCCTTTAAGCTGGTGAGTCAGAAACACCTGGCCAAATGTAAGCCAGCTCCAAACCTCTGCTCCCTTCCTCTTCCCAGCTTGCTCACACTGATAACCACAGAGTAGGGCATGAAACATTCTTTCATTCTCTGTGCATTTCCCTGTTCCCAGCCCCAAGGCAAGAAAAAGTTCCTCCTGTGAAACACAAAGTTCTCACTTGTTCAGCTTCATAGGAAGGAAGCAGTGAGGGAGGATGTCTTTGTCTCAGCAGTTTACTGCTACAGCAACTGTCAGCACACTATGAATACTCTTAAATATTAAAATTGCATATTAAAAATCCCCACACACTTAAAACCACAGCAGCAGTTTGACAAAACAAATCTGGGACTTATGTTGCCCCTCACCAGGAGTGCTGTAAGAGACAGCCTGAGATCAATCATCTAAGCCCAGCTGTGGTCAGAACAACCTCTCTGCCCAGGACTGAAGGCAGCAAGTAAATTATACTGATGCCTACTTATGGCCTTCTTAAGACAACACAAGGACTTCGTACGCTATATTGTTAGTTAGGGATTTCCAGAATAGGTGTATTTAGGAAATGAGAACCAATCCCTGGCAAGATAGTACCCACTTTGTACAGCAGAGACAGTGGCTTTTAAACTCAGGTCGGTAATAGATATTCAAGTACGAACTAGTACGAAAAGCCTCCTTTATGCTTTATTTACCCCATAGTGCTCTGGTTAAAGACGGGTTTTCACATGATGTGGAGCAGGAGGAAGTAGGGAAGAGTGCCCCTTTCATCACCATATGGTCTGGCCTGGCTTTGTTCAGTCTAAAAACTTAAACAGGGGAGACTTAGGATAGATATAAGAAATAAATTCTTTACTGTGAGGGTGGTGAGACACTGGCACAGGTTGTCCAGACAAGTTGCAGCTGCCCCCCATCCCTGCAAGTGTTCAAGACCAGGCTGGATAGGGCTTTCAGCAACTGGGTCTAGTGGAAGGTGTCCCTGGCCATAGCAGGAGGGTTGAAACTAGGTGATCTTAAGGTCCTTTCCATTATGATTTTAAAACAGACTGAACTAAGAAACACTGCTTTCTCAGCCTGCTCTTGCTGCATGATGAAGTGTGCTTCCCTGCAGTTAAGCTGTTTCTATCTTGTCTTCCTGACAGTCTCTCTCTCTCTGGATTGTATCCAGTCTGCCACTTTTAGTGACACAGAAGGCCACTGAACTGCACATGTCCACAGGTAAGAGCAGGGAATACAAAGCACCATCCTGGAAGCTTGGTCCAGGACATGAGCTGATCTGTTCTTTCCAAGTCAGACAATTCAAAGTTGTGACCCCTCATCACATGCTGTTGCAGACAGCCTGACACAGTTATACATAGAACAAAATGCTGCATGCAACATCTGCACAGGAATTGAGGACACCTCTTAACTTGCAAAGCAATTTTCACACCATAGGACTGGTAAATTAATCTTCCCATCTGGAACTTTTAAACAGCACACAACCACTTTGATTTCACTGGCTTTTAACTGCTCCCTCCATTTTAATGTGGTTTTTATGAGGAACATTTAAAAGAACCTTTAGCATCAGGAAATGTTTGGTTACAACTTTGTACATCAACCTACTTGCAACTCCAGACCTTTGTAATGGCTTAGGAACAGTATTTCCACCATAGGATATTTACTAAGCATCCTATTTTGAAGTTGTGAAGTCCTGTCTTATGTTCATACTGGGGCAAAATAATATCGCAGATAACCGAGAAGTTGGCAAGAGATGAAGGGGACAGACAACAGTACAATCTTTCATGGCTATAAAATTTACAGCAACATGAGTTGGGACACATTTATACTTGCAGATGCATTGAAAGGGTATCTATTTTTGGAGTAACCCTCCAATTTCACTGTTAATCTTTTAGCAAAGTCAAAGTCTGACAAGACATCCTGTAAAGATTTTGTATCGCTTCCATCATCCATGCTGCCACAGTCCACTTCTAGCAGGATGGGTTTTTTTCTTCCTAACGTTCTTGTGCTGTGCCGACTTACCTGCAAGCAAACAGCAGGGCTTCACGTTGCTTTTCTGCATGACGTATTTTACACTCTTAAAGGATACACCAATTTTCCCTTGAGGAGCCACATTCATTTTTTTTGTTTTCCATATACAGCCAAATTCTCACTATGCTTTCCCATTTATCTACTCCAGCACTCTTGCATCATGGAATACTTGCTCTTCCTTCTGGGCATTTAATGTCTGCAGGTTGCAGTGCCTAATTTTGTCCGCCACACAGTCTGCATTTGCAGCATCGTAATCCTCAAGCATGTGAATAATTCTGCATCAGGCTGATAACTATCAGACAATGTCCTCAATGGCTTTTGAGCAAAGATTTGGGCTTCCATCTCATATACCAGGACTTGGTACCGGGAAACTTTACATGTTTATCTCAAAAATTACTGAATTTGGTTTTAATCTGTCCAACAGGGGGGTTATCTGTCATCCCCTTTTTTCAGGTTTTCTGAATAAAGTGCCTGTAAGCAATACGAAATTCACAGACCAGTATGTTTTAATGCAGACTCACTCCTAAATTGCTGCGTGTACAACAGAAACCTACTTGCTCCTTTTTCTGACCAGATAAATCTGCTGTCATAGGTCAGCAATAAGTCACAGCTAACTCCTGCTCCTCTACCCACAGAATTTCACCACTGTTCTCATATTACTAGGTTTGAAATATGTGGCCCTCACAGGCGCTGAATATTTCTATTCCTCCCAACGGCCTGTGGACCAGACTCGGCAGCGAACTCAGCTTCATCCCAAACTTTGCTCTGCGCTGCGGCACTTCCTGCTGTGCTCTTCCAGCTCACACACACCCTCCCGCCCCATCCTGCCCTTCCCCCACCTCCCCTCCACACCCCGGATCCCACCGGTCGTAAGAGAGGTGTTCAGGCCGAAGCCGTAACCACAGACACAAAGTTTAGACAGAAAAGCCGCTTAGTCGTTCCCTAAAACACGTCCGGGCTGAGGCGTCTGTGCGCTACGCGAGTGCAACCGAGCCTCGGTGCCGCAAGGATGAGGGGGTGGATCTGGGACAGGGCACCGGGGCAGAGTATTGACGATTGGTCGGCTGCTTCTAGGAAGAGATGGGAAGCGGTTTGGGCTCCGGAGAGCCCTGTCACCCCATCCTCCCCGGGCGGCAGCAGTCAGCGCGGCGGCACAGGAGCGGCTCCGCCTCCTCCTGCGCTCACGACCGCCCGAGTACCCCGGGGCTGCCGTCGGCCGACCCTTCCTTGCCCCCCGCCTCCGCAAGCCGCGCGCCCCTCCGGAGAAGCGTCCCCGCCGTCCTGCGCCGCCGCGGCCCGCTCCCCTCAGCTAAGGGGCCTCCGCGGCGCAGCGGGCTGAGCCGGGCGGCCGGCGGGTCCCGGACAGGCGGGGCGGCCCCGCGCCGCACTCACCATGGCGTTGGAACAGTTCAGTAGGCACACGGCGGCCAGCAGAAACCACCGCCGACGGTATGTCTTGAACTGAGACAGCCGGCCCAGGCCCTGCTCTCCTAGCAGGCTCGCTGCCTCACCACTCTCCATCGCAGCTCGGCTTGACTCGACTCGGCCCAGCACAAACAGCACAGCACACCACGGCTCGGCTCGGCTCGGGACAGCCCCACCCGGCGCGGCGCGGCGCCGCCCCGCCCCTCCCCGCCCGCCGCGCTCGCCGGCCTCCCCGGAGCGGCCCCGGCCGCACCACCGCCTGCCGCCCGGCACGGCACGGCACGGCACGGCACGGCAGGGCACGGCACGGCAGGACACGGCACGGTCAGGGCCGCAGCATACGGCAGGGCACGGCACGGCAGGGCACGGCACGGTCAGGGCCGCAGCATGCGGCAGGCGGTGCCAGTGCGTCCTGCGGAGCAGCAGTAAGCCGGGTGACAGGTGTTCCCGCGGGAGCCGGCTTTGCCCTGTCGCATTTGGCAGAGGAGAAGAGCCCGGTGCTCCGAAACGGGACTGCTAAAGGGCTCGGGATAGTGGGGTGCTGCGGCCCACGGGGGAGAAAGCTTTTCCCCTGTGCCGTGAAAACTGCAGCAGCACCAACATCACTAATGCCCGCTGGTGACTCCGCGTTATGGTGAGAGTCACTATCAGCTCTCGCCTCCGGCCACAGCGGCAGCTCCCGTGGCTGTGGACACCGGTGGCGGCAGGAGGGAGAAGCGTTGTGGTAACAGACTTGTCCGAGGGGTGATTGCTTTGTGCAGTAGAAAAAGACAAAAGGAGGATAAAGGGAGGATGTCTTAGAGGTCCAGACCTTCAGAGGTCTATCAGCCATGGGATGTGCAGTTTGGTTATGGTGTCACAGGACTGATTATGCTGCAGACAGCAATATTTTCTTTATTCAGTGCAGACACCTGCACGACCTGTTACCTCCTTCCGAAAACCTCACCAAGGGTGCAAAGCAAAAGGCTTTTCCACTCCTGAACAAGGCCTGTGACTTCAGGCTGGACGAGTGCCCATAATGCCTCAATGTCTTTCTCACAAGACTGAGGCTTGATCCCCCTCGCAGATCACCACACACCCCCTGCTCATCCTCAAAGATGACAGGAGAATGGATTCTAGAAATGGCTCCAAGGCACTCTTGCTCACCATTTTGTCACCTCATGCTCAGCTTTTTGAAACCTTTGTGCTGTTCCTCACCACCACCTGCTAGGAGCACAACCACCTCTCAAGTCTGAGGCAGGGGTTTCTTTACTGTGGGAAGGACTTTATTTCAAGCTCTTTGGAGTGAGTATTTGGAAGAGTGGATGTTACCCTTCATGCAGATATTTTCTCATGAACAATTTTAGCTGAAATTTTCCATTCTGGGGCAAGGGAAGCTAGGGTAGGGAGAAGAAATCATTTCAACCCCAAGTTCAGCCTGTTGTTGCAGTGTGTAGAGAAGCAGGCATTGTGTGAGCTAGTGAGCAAGCTTTACTGATACATGACTGCCTTCCAATCTGCCACAGCTGGATTTTGGGGTTGACATTTAGTGATAGCAGGTGGGACTGTTAAGGTAATATTAACGATTGACCTGTTCCTTTGTCTGCAAATGCCTGGCTAGATTTGCCTGGCTTGTGAACTGCTGACAAAGGAGCACTTCTGTTATGCTGCAGGCTGATGTCCTGCTCTGAAAAGATGTGGTCTGACCTGGGTTGTGCGCATGAGTTCACTACCCTCCTGACCCATCAGTGCTGAGACATGGGGAGAAACTTGTATGACAACATGCTAGAAAGATGCCCAGGTGTATGGGACAGCAGAAAGCTGCAGTGGTCATTGCTCACCAGAACTGTAATTCCCTTCTGTCCCTGGTCTCTCATATTGGCAGAAAAGCCCTGTATGAAAATGGGAATTCTGTGAGGCTCTGCCCATGTCCACTGTGTCCATTCATTTTTCAGCTCAAAAATACGTGTTATCATCAGAGATACCTAAATGATGCTGGCAGAAACCAGAATGCTATTGTGGAATAGTCCTTTTTCTCTCTGCTGTCCCTTTTGTTAGTAAAACACTAACACCTTTGGGGCAGACATCAGAAAGTATCAATGTGTCAAACAAGGCCACAGAAAGAAAGAAAACTGCAGCAGGAGATAACTGCTTTTCTGTTTAGACCAGAATAATCAGTGGACTCTTAAGTCACATCTGTGAGGAAAATAATTATTTTTCCCTACCTCATGTTTCTCTTATATGTATTGCCTTGCATTACATACCCTAACAGGACTAGTCTGGGGCTGCAGGGAGCTAAGAGCACTCAGAGAAGCTCTGTGCAACTTTATTCCCTTACTCCATGCCATCTCTCCCATGAACAAGGATGCCACTTGTTACTGGTAGCACACCAAGGGCAGCGGGAGGATTAGAGCTGAAGGAGAGCAGTTCCATCTGCCATGCAGCTCCTCATTCATTTCTGGTGCTCTACTTCTGCCTGATGCATCTGTATCAGTCCATTTATCCACAGTGTCACCCTCTCTTCCACACACCCCAGCACGTCCTAGACCCCTTCTTCCTCCTGGCTTTTGTTTTCAGGAACTGGCAGCTTAAGCCAGATGTCAGGTGCTTCTCAGGCAGTTTCTTGGTTTGTACTGAGGTACGTAAGGTCTCTAATGTGTGAGCATGTGTGGGGTACACTGAACAGACCCAGCTGCACAACTTGTGCACTGAACGCCCCCTCTGTGCCAGGGAGTGAAACACTAAGACAGTAGGGATGTGAAGGAAGGTTTTCAGCAATGGAGTAGCTGAAGTGTCTGTATCTGGGTTGTAAAATGGGTGTGGAACAACTTAATGTTGAGAAAGGATTCTGCATCCAAAGTAGCTTTCCACTATTGGGCATTGATGGCAGGAATTACAGGATTATTCAGGTTGAAAGGGACCACAGGAGGTCTGTAATCCAACCTTCTGTTCAAAGCAGTGTCATCAATGAGGTGAGACCAGTTTCCTTTGGGGTCAGTCTGATCTTGAAACCTCCAACGATGGAGACTGCACACCCTTTCTGGGTAACTCGTTCTACTGCTGGACTGGTCCTGGGATAGATGCCACAGTACAGCCTTCAGGTAGAGTACAATTCACTAACTGCAACTCTCCGACTCAGTCCAGTCAGTACTATACCCATCCTGTTGGCTACCGGTCCAGACCATAATGTCCTAACTTACAAGACCAGAACACTGGGGGAAACAATGTTGAAAATGTTGTTGCTAAACTCATGGTAAATGCCATCCACTGCTCTTCATCCATCCATCCATCCATCCATCCATCCATCCATCCATCCATCCATCCATCCATCCACAAATCCCAGTCTTTTATAAAAAAAAGGCAATCAGGCAAGTTCACCGGGTATGATTTCTCCTCAGTGAATCCATGCTGATTACTCCCAGTTGCCTGTTTGTTTTTCATGTGCCCAGAAATACTGTCCAAGTCAGAACTTGGTTCATGTTTTTTCCAGGGTTTGAAGTGAGACTGGACAACCTGCAGTTGCCTAGTCTGTCCTGAGTGCTTTTTGAATATAGCTGCAACATTTCTCCAGTTGGCAGAGGTACCCATGGCCTCTCAAAGAAGATCAAAAGTGACCTTACTTCGGCATCATCTCAGCAATCTTAGACACAGCCCTTCTGGATCCATGGACTTGTATGAGTCAAGTTTTCTACAGCAATCCCTAAGTCATCCACTAATGGTCATCCTTCCCTTTCACGAGGCCTGAGAGACCTTACTGGTGAAGATTAAGGCAAAGAAGGCATTTTGTTTCTCAGGTTTGTCTGTGCCCACTCTCACTAATCACCCAGCCTATTCATTAACAATCTGCCATTTTCCTTGTTCAGCCTTTTATCACTAGTTCAGCAATTGGAGCTCTTCTTGTTACCCTTGACATGCAAGCTTAAACTCCAGCTGATGTATAGCTTTTCCTGACACCATCACTCAATGCCCACGCAATGTTTCTAAATTCCTCCTGTGAGTTACATCGGAGTGATTTGTGTCAGCAACTCAGAGGTCCTAGTGATCATTGCACTTTGTGTGGAGATGGAATCCCTTGTGATCATTGTGCCATGTGCAAAGGGTATGATAAATGTCCCTGTCAATACCACAGTGAGGAAGAAGAAGAAACAAGGGAATAGTCCTCCTGGGTCAACCGCGACATTGTGCAAAGAAATGCTTTGTTCGTTGTTTGATTGCATGAATGTTCTTGGGGGGGGGTAGGTAACTTAGAGATATGTCCTGTTACAGAATGTTGTAAAATCTGTGTGCTGAACAAATAACCATATAAGGAGTGGAATTTATGGGGGCTAAGATGGCGGTCAGACTTGTGATAGACATCTTCCTGTTAATGCATTACCAAGATGTTTAGTAACCTTTCTAAGATGTTTCTTCACCCAGAGACAAGACCCCAGCAACAGGAGGAGAACAATAGTAAAGAGCCAGCCACTTCAACATCCAGGATTGGCTGCAACCCAAGACGCCCGGGAAAAGAAGACAACAGGATTGGCTGAAACCCAAGGCCGAAAAGTGTAAGAGACTACCCCCAGAAGTTCCCCTTGTGCGTCTTGGGCGGAGCAGAGACTCCCCAGTGCACCCAGCACTGCTTGCTTATTGCCTCTTGATATTAATCAATTGTAATAAAAATTAGTTAAACCACATTGGCTAGATGAGATTTATATAACACTCCTTTGTAGCCTACCCCTGCTTCCACCTGCTTTATGCTCTTCTTTTACATTGGAGTCCTCATAGAGACCAGCTTTCTACCTACCAGCTGGTCTGCTGCTTTTTTCTCTGAATACTGAGATGACTTGTTCTTGCACTTGGTTGAAGCCCCAGAGATACCATCACTGTTGCAGACAGTGGTACAGTAAAAAGGCTGCTTTTCCCCTGCTGTGCACTGAAAGAGGCAAGGAACAAGATGTCCTGAGCTACAGAACTCTGATACATTGTGGGGTACACCTTTGCTAGGGTGGACTAGCATTGAGCAGGTTGCAACCTTTCATCACATCTGATACCCCCCCCCCCGCTGAATGGGTTATCTGCTTGCGGCTGACACCCAAACATAGCAGGTTTTCTATGTGGGGATGTGAATAGGTTCTTCTCTCTCTTCAGCCACAGATTT